CTGGGTGGCGCAGTCGGTTAAGCGTCCGACTTCAGCCAGGTCACGATCTCGCGGTCCGTGAGTTCGAGCCCCGCGTCGGGCTCTGGGCTGATGGCTCGGAGCCTGGAGCCTGTTTCCGATTCTGTGTCTCCCTCTCTCTCTGCCCCTCCCCCGTTCATGCTCTGTCTCTCTCTGTCCCAAAAATAAAATAAAAAATAAAAAAAAAAAAACATGCGTGTCCAGAACACATGAATTCTGGCAAAGCAATGACAAACACCTCAATGAAAAGTGTGACCTTATTTAGAAATAGGGTCTTCAGATGTAATCAAGTTAAGAAGTCATTAGAGTGTGTCCTAATCCAACATGAATTGTGTCCTCGTAAGGCAAGGATAAAACATACAAAAGAAAGACACACAGGGAGAATGCCATGTGATAACAGAGGTAGAGGTTGGAGTGACGCAGATCAAGGCAAAGAATGTCTAGGATTGAGGGCTTGCACCAGAGGCTAGGAAGTGACAAGGAATGATTCTATACACAGTCACAGAAGAAGCATGGCCCTGCTGACAATGATTTCAGGCATCTAGTCTCCAAAACTGTGAGAATAAATTTAAGCCACCTGCTTGGATGGTCTGCCCTACATTCTGGAAATGAATGCCTTCTTTTTCACGTAACCCTTCACAAGAGTTTTAACTGCTCCAGGTAATAGTCATCAAAGCTGGCTTCCATCACAAAGAGATAAATCACTTCCTTTTTGACATTTTGAGGGTGATCCATGAAAAGGATGTGAGCCCAGAATGCAGTAGAACACATGAGCTCTATTCAGGCAATACTCTGTCAGGTTTGCCTGTAGGGAAAGTCCCTCACAGCATGAGGCCGTCCAGAGGCAATGGCAAGGGAGCTACTACCCAGAAAGGGAGGTGCACAAGAGAACTCCCAGGGGAGAAGGGTATCAGAGACTTACATGGTTGGGTGAGGTCGCTCTGCAGCCCAGATGGAAGTCTTTGGATCAGAGAGTTCCAAAGGGCAGCAGCAGCCTGGGTCTTTCATAGCTACAGGGATTATCCTATTTATGGCTAGCAGCTGTTGGGCAAAGTTTCATGGGGTAGGCATGAAAAGCAAGCAGGCTCTAAATAGCTAAAAATGCACTTATTTGAGCTATGTTTAAAACAGATAAGTAAAAAATTGAGTTTGGCACCACTGGGCTTTTGAACCACTGGTTTACAATGAAGAAATAAATCACGGAGGGACAATATACAGAGGCCATCTTTGTCTCATGTATACAGAACCTCCAGACTCTATGTGCCTCCAGCTAGAAATACTCAAATAATATCTAAATTATACTCGTCAAAATATCAGACCTGAATACGGTCACACCTGTAGATCTAACTTGCAATTACTTGCAAATATGAAGAACAGAAGACGTTAAAAAACAGCATGGAGATATAATTAGAAGACCCATTCTATGAAAATTTCTACATGATTTATTCAACAATTACATTACAAAGAAATACATAAGGGAACTATAATACTAAGGGAACTATAGATTAGATACAAAGGAGATATTAAGTTGTAATGTATGGGTCTCATTAGATCCCAATGCAAACAATCCAACAGCAAAATTTTAAAATTATGTAAAAAACTAGGAAAATTGACCACTGCCTATTTATTTGAATATATTAAGGATAATTGTTCATTCCAAAAATTTTAAGATTGAAATGATATACTGAGAACTGCTTCAAAATTATCCAGAGGAAGCCAAGTGTTGTAAAGAAAACTGATGGAAATTGTTGAAGGCAGGTAACAGGTATAACAGATTTTCCTAAACCATTCCCTCTACATTTACAGAGTTTGAATTTTTACAAAATAAAATTTTGTTAAGTGTATTCATTCTGAGAGAGAGCGAGCGAGTGAGCAGGAGGGGCAGAGAGAAAGGGAATGAGACAGAATCACAAGCAGGATTGGCACTGTCATCACGGAGCCTGATGCGGGACTCGAACCCATGAACCATGAGATCATAACCCAAGCCAAAAGCAAGAGTCAGTTGCTTAACCGACTTCGGCTCAGGTCATGAGTTTGAGCCCTACGTCGGGCTCTGTGCTGACAGCTCAGAGCCTGAAGCCTGCTTCGGATTCTGTGTTTCCCTCTCTCTCTCTGCCCCTCCTCTCTCTCTCTCTCAAAAATAAATAAACATTAAAAAAATAAAATAAATTATTAAGGTGCACCTGGGTGGCTCAGTTAATTTGGTTTCAGCTTGGGTCATGATCTCATGGTTTGTGAGTTCAAAACCCTGCTTGGGATTCTCTCTTTCCCTCTCTCTCTCTATGGATCTCTCCCCTACTCACTCTCTCAGCTCTGTCTCAAAATAAATAGACAGAAAGAAAGAAAGAAAGAAAGGAAGGAAGGAAGGAAGGAAGGAAGGAAGGAAGGAAGGAAGAAAGAAAGAAAGAAAGAAAGAAAGAAAGAAAGAAAGAAAAAGGAAGGAAGGAAGGAAGGAAGGAAGAAGGAAAGAAAGAAAAACTATTTATAAAAGGAAGTTTTGGGGCGCCTGGGTGGCTCAGTCGGTTGAGCGGCCGGCTTCGGCCCAGGTCATGATCTTGCGGTCCGTGAGTTCAAGCCCCGCGTCAGGCTCTGTGCTGACCGCTCAGAGCCTGGAGCCTGTTTCAGATTCTGTGTCTCCCTCTCTCTCTGACCCTCCCCCAATTCATGCTCTGTCTCTGTCTCAAAAATAAATAAACGTTAAAAAAATTTTTTTAAAAGGAAGTTTTGGTATGGTCTCTATAATTATGCTAATGCAACCCCTTTCTTAAAAGGATATTCAGATTGTGTGGTAGATTTTCCAATCCCCTGTGAAACAATCTAGCAATGTCCTCATGATAGCACAATAGTAATTTTTCCTCCATTTTGAACCATGTGACTCACTTAAGCCAGCGCTATGTGAGCAAATGTTATGGCAGAAACCCTAAAATGTGCTTTTGGCTTTCCTCTGTTCCTCTAGTGCCTCATCTTGAAGAAGCTTCCCTGAGCTTCTGAGTCCTTTCAGCCTCAGAATGGACATCTCAGATCAGAGCCAATACAGCTTCCTGAAAACCCACCACTTGTCACAACCCACCTAAAGTCAGACCTATGAACATGAAAATAAATGCTTACTGCAGCATGTAATAAGCAAAATCTGACTAATGGTTATTTGCACAATTGCAATTAATGACAACATTTGCAAAATTAGCAAGATGTTGGACAAAATATGCTATTTATAAATAGAAATGATGTGCTCTGGAAGGTCAGAGAAGGAAAAGAAATTTATACAACTGACAAAGAACCAAGAAAGTCTTCATGCAGGAATGGTTAGTGAGTGCTTGCATTTATTTCCCCATTTTGTGGAATCAGATGATATGAATTTTAAATATTTGGAAACAAAACGTTATTGAAATGATACAGAATTTAATTTTTTCTAAGATTAAGTTCAAACTGAAGTGCAAATTATTATCCTCTTGCCACATAGAAGTTTCTCTTAGTGATCTACAGGAAAAACCAAATGACAAGATGGCATTGTGTCAACCATATTCCTTATTTGCCCTTTGGAGATCCATTTCCGTGTCACCTGTTCATTTACTTTAAGAATGATCACAATCTAAAATACTTCATCACATGACAATTATCATTCAAGAGTTTATCTGAACCACCGTTGGTGTTAGAAACTTGAAGTGAAAAATCAACAGATAAGGAAAGAAACTTAGGTGTGAGAAATTCTAGAGAAGTCCAAATTACTGCCAGCAGGTGCTATGCTGTTAATCTAGGACTAAGCACTCTGTAGAATGTTGGAGCTCATGAAAACCTACTAAAAATAATTGTGAAGCTTTCTTTTTAAATATTTCGTTAGAATTTATTACAGTAAATATTTGACTCCTAAAAGTTAAACACAAGTGACTTGTAACCATCTGTTTTTACTGTGTATTTGGGTTTCCATACACACAACTGCGCAAAAACCCAGGGAAAACACTACAGCCATGCAGTAAGATACGCGGACGATAACAGACACTCCTGCCAGCACAGGAACCACCACTCAAACACCTGAACTCTCTGACATATACACACGCTGCAGCGACAAAATCACAAAAACTGTCACTGGGACGGACACACATGTGGACACACCCAGACAGACACAGAAACTCAGACACATTGGCAAAGATGATGTCTCCAGAGAAAACTAATTCACTCCCAGGGATACACAGGCCCTCTGAAAACCACCCACCCAACAGCTCTCTACTCCAGACTAATCCACATCAGCTACACTACACGTTTTACTGCTGTCTCTCCTCCTGGAACGGGGACTTCACACTTTCTGAATCTGTGCGGTAGGGAAAAACCTCTCTTGATAAGAACCCCTACATAGGAATCCGAGGAAGAAGTGGAAGGGACCCTATATGGCTGGGGTTATGGTGTTCCAGCCCCACACGCTGCTTTTAGGATTCGTTGAGAAATGCACTCATCACTACTTTGACCTCTTGTCACTGCTTTCCAACTGGAAGCTCGGTGAAGGCAATAACGGTGCCCATCTCGTGGACCGGCAGCCACCGTCTCCTACACTGCGGTCTTCCTGGCAGTCCTCCCCCCTCCTGGTCTCATGTGCCCACACACCTTGCTCCATCCACCCTGGGCGGCCCCAACCTCCTCCCAAGACTCCGCGGGTGGACACCTTGGGCACTTAGGAGCTCGTCCCACACACGTCTCCCAGCCACTGAGCCACCCATAGCAGAAGCCAGGCAGCCACAGGAACTGAAGCCCAGGGACGGGGACTCCACTTCCCTCTTCGCTGGTGTAGTGTCTTCCGCGCGTGCGCGTGCGCGTCCGCCCCGCCCACACGTGCCTGCGTACTTCCGCGTGGGCTTCAATCCCAGGTGGCTCTGAGGAGTACTTCCTCACGGGGCGCACGGCATGCTGGGAGGAGTCTGAAGGGTGGAGCTCTGGGCCTCTGTGGAGTCTCTGCCCGAGACCTCCACTTCTCACAGGCAGCAGGGCTGAGACTACGCGGAACCGGAACGCAGAGCACGGGCGTTGGTAGAAATGCGCATGTGCACTGGTGAGGTGGCGTTGTAGTCCCGGATGGGCGGCGGGTAGGCATGAGCTGTGGTGAGGAGTCCCGGTGCCGACAGTGCTTGTGCCGCAGCCTCAGTCCTCAGGCCAGAAGATTCCAGAACACTGGCAGGTGAGTGAGGGACAACAGGTGTGAGTGTGCATGCACCTACCTGAGGGCCCTGACCAAACATCCAGTAGTGACTTCACTGAGGGTTTGAGACTGTTCACACGGCCAAAGTGGGGGGAGCTTATAGGGGCTCCCATGTGGAATAATAGGGGGCTGTGGCCATGGGGCACGCAAGGACAGTCTCGGGTGGGGCTGTCACATCCGGTCGGCATCAAGTTTTACAGACTTCTAAGACTATATACAGGCATTCCTTTTGTGAGACATGACAAAGACAGGGAACTAAGATCACTGACTAGGTTTGGGGGATTTGAAAACAAATGGGCACCTCTGTTCGAGAGTGATGGTGTATTCTTTCTCTACCTCTTGCTGGCTCATACTCTGTCTCTCTCTCTCTCTAAAATATAAACAGAAAAAAAAAACTTTTTAAGAACTAAAAGGCAACATATTCAATAAAGGATTAGTATCTAAAATATATAAAGAATATATAAAACTCAAACACCCAAAAAACAAAAAATCCAATTAAAAAATGGGCAGAAGATATGAACAGACATTTCTCCAAAGACCTACAGATGGCCAACAGACATATGAAAAGATGCTCATCATCACTCATCATCAGGGAAGCGCAAATCAAAATCACAATGAGGTATCATCTCACACCTGTCAGAATTGCTACAATCAACAACACAAGAAAAAACAAGTGTTGGCAAGCATGTGGAGAAAAAGGAACACTCGTGCATGGTTACTGGGAATACAAGCTGGTGCAGCCACTGTGGAAAACAATACAGAAGTTTCTCAAATACTTCAAAATAGAACTACCTTATGATCCAGCAGTCGCATTACTGGGTATTTACCTGAAGAATGTAAGCACACTAATTCAAAGGGATACGTGCAGCCCGATATTTACAGAAGCATTATTTACAATAACCAAGATATGGAAGCAGCCCAAGTGTCCACTGATAGATCAATGGATAAAGATGTGAAGATGCACACACAATGGATCATTCAGCCATAAAAAAGAAGGAATCTTGCCATTTGCAACAAGGATGGAGCTGGAGTATTATGCTAAGTGAAATCAGTCAGAGAAAGACAAATACCATATGGTTTCACCCATATGTGGAATTTAAGAAACAAAACCAGCAAAAGTGGGAAAAAAAGAGACAAATCAAGAAATAGACTGTCAATTATGGAGAACTGCCGGTTCCCAGAAGGGATGGAGTAGGGGGATGAGTTGAATAGGTGATGGGGATAAGGAATGTACTTGTGATGAGCACCGTGTGCTGTATGAAATGTTGAATCACTATATTGTAGACCTGAAACTAACATAGCACTATGTTAACTGGAATTAAAATTAAAACTTTTTTTTTAAAAACAACCCTTCTTCTCAATGACTGCTCTACCAATTTTAGTTAGCTAAATTCAGTTATTTCTGCCTTCTACAATCACCAAACACAAGCCAAAATCTGAAAATATATCCTTCCAAACACCCTCTGACTGATACATCCCACTGTCCATGTGTTCACTCAAATTGCTTGAATTCAATGCACCCAATTTTCATTGACTACCAGTGTGTTCCCAGTGGTTTGAGTTAGAAAGCTTTGACAAAACAATTATTTAAGGTTTTATTAGCAATGAGTAAGAAATCAGTTTAATAGGAAATTCTTATACAACAATAAAAAAAGTTACACGACAAAAATGTCTTAAGTTGTATGCACCTGGAAATACTGACTTAGAATGTATAATGCTTACCAAAATTACAGTTGATCCGGAATGCATAATTGCCATGGGATATTTTAATGTGTTCTCTCAGTAAATGAAAAAGAGTATAGCATTTGGTAGAGTTACAGGTTGAATTGTCCACCAAAGTCCTATCCCCAGCACCTCAGAATGTGATCTTATTTAGAAACAGAGTTACCACCAATATAATTAGAGGAGGTGATACTGGAATAGGATGAGCCCTAACTGGATATGTGTGGTCCTTATAAAAAGAACCCCAGATGAAGAGATAAACACGCATGTGGGCAGAATGCAGAGTAAAGATCAGTTATATCGCCACAAGCCAATGAACTACCAAAAGCTAGGAGAGGGCTGGAGCAGACCCTTCCTTAGCACCTTCAGAGGAAGCATGGTCTGGCCAATACTTTGAACTTAGACTTCTACCTTCAGAACCATGAGACCAAAATTTCTGTTGTCCTAAGCCACCCGACTGTGGTACTTTGTTACAGCAGCCCCAGAAAAGTAATGCAGTAAGTGCACAGATGATATAAAAATACTGTAAGTTGTGTATTTCTAGGAAATATCTACAAAAGATTTCCCTTGATAAAATACATACTGTTTTTAGTGACACATAATCAAACATAACAGTAAAACCCTTAGCAAGAAACAGCATTTGGCTCTCCCAAATCTAGTATACGAAGTTGTTTTTTTCTCACGTTGAAGGACTGACTCAGCACACTACAAGATGTGATAGGTTAACTAAGTCCCATGTGTTATTTTGCTTTGTAGCAACACTGTAGCTTTTATGGCAGAATCAGGATCACAGAGTCACTAGAAGTATTGAAAATAAGGCGTTCACTATACAAATTAGACCTTATACACATATGTGAAGATCTAGAGAAGAGTGAAATCATAGTATCAGAAAAGATCACTAACCATGAGTCTGAAACAGTGGTCTAGAGGACACATCAGAGTTTGTAAGAATATCCAAACTGTGAGTGCAAGACCACACAAATGGATCCTTTATACGCAGCTCAGGAAGATATTCATGGAAGCCTGCAACTCTGAGAAAAATGGGAATCAAGCACATGGCATTTCTTTTGCACGATACTCTTGATTGGCAGCGCCAAAATCAGGGGAAAAGAAGCTCCTTTGCATCTATCACACTTTAATATGGCTCCAAACAGAAATGGCTTCTTCACTTCCACCTTCCAAATCTCGTGCCAAGTTAGGCTATTGGTAAATCTGAACGTAAAGGGAAGGGTTTCTGGGAAATGTAGTTTCCAACACTGCCCATGTTGACATAATACAATCTGGAAGAACCACCTCAAACTCTGTATCTTATATCTCATGGTTGCAAAGTATCTCTCAAGTAAAAGCCTACTGTCCAATTTCCAATCACACTCAAGGGCAAGGAGCAAAGGGAAAAAGTTGAAAGTGACAATTCACATGAGACTATGCTTTGAAGAACTCTGCATAATTATCAATTTCTGCAAAATATTTGTAAAGCAAATGCAATAAGGCTCCTCTGGCCAAATCAAATAAATAGATTCTCAGTATGGCAGAAAATACGTAACAGGTGATACCCAGGATCTGCCACACCAAGCTAGTAAGAAAATCCCAAGAAATACCAAAGTGTCATTGTTCCAAAAACCCCTTAAAGAATTTAAAGAACTAAAAAACTAAAACTACTTACATATTAAAAACACACTTCAAATCACCAGGAGTCCAACAAACTGTAAAGATAGGTTTATTTACTGAAATGTAGGGGAAAACATAGTATTTGAAAACTTTCGTATGAAAGCTAAGAGTACTTGGAGAGCTATTCTGCACCCAAGTTTTTATCTGTAAAAGAACTAGAAATGCACACCCCATGGGTCCACTTTGATGGGGTTCTCACAAAGGCAGTACCATATTTACAACTTTTATCAGATTTCTCTCCTGGTGTGGATTTTCTGAAGCATGGGGCATGAATTCATCTGCAGAATTTCCCGCAGTGCATAAGTAGTGTCTCTCGGTAGTGTGTATCCTTACATGTCTTCTTAAGGATGAGGAACAACTAAAAGCCTTCCCACACTCCTTACATTCATAGGGTTTCTCTCCAGTGTGCACTCTCATATGTATCGGCAAGGATGACGGCCATTTGAAGACCTTCCCGCATTCCTTACATTCATAGGGTTTCTCCGCGGTATGTGTTCTCACGTGCTGCTGCAGGAGTTCAGGCCAACTGAAAGCTTTCCCGCACTGCTTGCATTCATAGAGTTTCTCTGCAGTGTGCCTTCTCATGTGTTTCTGTAAGGATATGTGGCAATAGAACGCTTTCCCGCATAGCTTGCATTGATAGGACTTGTCTCCTGGATGCATCCACACATGTTCTCGAAAGCAAGCAGACAAATTGAAGGCTTTCCCACACTGTTTGCACTCGTAGGGTTTCTCTCTGGTGTGTGTCCTCATATGTCTTCGTAAGGAGATGGGCCAGTTGAAAGTTTTGCCACACTGACTGCATTCATAAGGTTTCTCCCCAGTGTGCACTCTCATATGCCCTCGAAAGGACGAGGGATGGCTGAAGGCTTTCCCACACTGGCTGCACTCATAGGGCTTCTGTCCACCATGAGTCCTTTCGTGTCTTCGAAAGGACTGGGGATAAATGAAGGTTTTCCCACACTGTTTGCATTCATAGGGTTTCTCTCCAGTGTGAATCCTTTCGTGTCTCCGGAAGGACTGCAGGTAAATAAAGGTTTTCCCACACTGTTTACATTCGTAGGGCTTCTCTCCAGTGTGTGAGATCATGTGCCTGCGAAAAGCTGAGGAGTAGCTGAAGGCTTCTCCACATTCCTTACATTTATGTGGTGTCTCCCCAGTGTGTGAGATCATATGCCTCCGAAAAGTTGAGGAGTAGCTGAAGGCTTCCCCACATTCCTTACATTTATAGGGCTTCTCTCCAGTGTGCGTTATCATGTGTCTCCGGAAAGTTGAGGAATAACTGAAGGCTTTCCCACATTCCTTGCACTTATATGGCTTCTCTCCAGTGTGAGTTCTCACATGACTAGTAAGACTTGAGAAATCAATGAAGGCTTTCCCACATTGCTGACACTCATAGGTTTTCTCAGCAGTGTGAATCCTTACGTGCCGGTTGAGGGAAGAAGTACGAGGAAAGGTTTTTCCACATAATTTACACGCGTAGGTTCTCTCTCTGTTGTGGGTTCTCACATGCATTCTTAGGTGTGCACGACAGGTATAGGCCCGCCCACACTCCTGACACTGATACGCTTTGTGTCCAGCGTGCATGGCGATGTGACTCTCGAGGGAGTGACGCCCGAAGACTTTCTCATACTCACTGCATTCATCCTCTTTAACTCCGCAAAGAGTTTTCTCATACAGATTAAGATTTGGAATCTGACTGGAGCCTTCCCTGCACTGACCATTACTTTCAGAGAGTCTCTCCACCACAGGATTTCTGTTAAGAAGAAGAAGCATGTTATCAACGGTTTGACTAATGATTTAATATTTACTAATAAGTATCAGCATTACATTCTTAGGGGCGCGTGGATGGCTCAGTCGGTTAGGCGTCCAACTTTGGCTCAGGTCATGATCTCATGGTTTGTGAGTTCAAGCCCCGTGTTGGGCTCTGTGCTGACAGGTCAGAGCCTGGAGCCTGCTTTGGATTCTGTGTCTCCCTCTCTCTCTCTACTCCTCCCCTGCTCATGCTCTGTCTCTCTCTGTCTCTCA